TGAGGATCCCAGATGCTATGCTATTGCTAATTTGCTAGAGTCCGATGGAGGAGAAGGTCGAGGTGGGATATGAGGGGAGAACGGAGAAAAAGGGATATGCATTTTTTTGAAAAAATTACATATAGTGTTAGACGGAGAGAAATTTCGGTGGATTCTAGAAAATTCAGCGGCTTTTGTTTTTTATATTAAGGCAACACTTTTTAAACATTTTAAAATGAGAAAATTCGGTGGCTTTTGTTTTTATCTGTTGGTTAAATTGCATATTGCATTACGCTATTGGGAATGATCGTATGATTTTTACTATGAGAGAGAGAGAGAGAGAGAGAGAAATTGCAGATTGCATTGGGCTTTTGGTTGTTGGTTAAATTGCATATTGCATTGCATTGCTTTTGGTTGTTGGTTAAATTGCATATTGCATTGCATTGCTTTTGGCTTTTGCTTGTTAGAGAGAGAAAAATCATATGAAGCCATAGAATCTCTTATCGAAGAAATTGATGGAGCAATTGGGGACGATCAGTGATTAATTTACAGGGAAAGTGCTATGAATGTCAAAGGGGCTGCGTCTGTGGTACGGTTTGGTAGAAACTGGCGAAGGAAACTACAACCACAGAGCCGGTGATGGCAGTTATGAGAGAAACACAGTGAGTGAAGAGAGAGAAGGAGATGAAGTGTGAAAAAATACACTATAAAGGGTATTTTGGTAACCTACGCTCTAGGAAAAAAAAACTAATGGCATCATCTTTCAGATGTTTAAACTTTGGGAAATTTTATTTAATTTTATTTAAATCCATGTAATCTCTTTTTACATTTAATTTAAAATTTAAAATGTTAATTGTCTAGTTTATCGTATTGCATAATTACTATTAAATACAAAATGAAATTAATAATAAAACTCAATTTTATCAATAAATCCAAATGGTCAGAGGCTGCTTCACCGCCACCACCAGAGCCTCATTCGCTGCCGCCACCACAAGTCTCAACATCTCTAGCTTCCATTCAAACCCAGCAGCTACTTCCTTCTCTTCATGTGGTACAACTCTCAACAAGTTTACTCTTGGGATATTGTGGTTCAGAAAGTTGGGAACAAATTGTTCTTTGATAAACGTGATGGGTCGTAATTGGATTTGCTTTCGGTCCATGAAACCTCTCAGGAGCCCTTGCCTGAAGCTAAGGATGATATCAATTCAGCTTACTCGTTGAGTGTCGAGGCTGCTTATATCAATTAGAACTTTTCACAGCAGGTTTTGGTTAGAGATGGGCTTTCCGATGGCGATTTCCTCGGCTGGGATTTTGGCGGTTCCGATGATCTCGGCGCTGAAGACGTCGTTATCTTTGACCTGAAACTCGTTGCGATGAATCTGCCACATGCAGAGGAAAGACAAAAACAACAAAGTTGCAGAGAAAAAACAAAAGCAAAAGCAAGTCTGCCAGAGAGGGTGGAGGTGGAGAGACAGAGAGAGGCGCAGTGGAAAGAGAAAAGAAAAAGCAAAATGATGTCTGGAAATGGAGTGGGAAACAAAAGTAGAAAGCAGAAAGTAAAAGCAGAAAGTAAAAGCAGAAAGCAAAAGAAGATAGAAAAGTAGCAGACATAATTGCGGTGGTGATGGCATGCAGAAAGGGGAATTATGGGCGTGACCCATTGAGCAGATGGTCGGATTTATTTTTGAATGATGTGATTTATTTTTCTTATCTTTCGGAGACATCTGTATAACCCTATCAGAGGATAAATAAAGAAAGAAGGCAGCATGCCAAAAAAAAAAAAAAAAAAAAAGAAAAGGTTGGAATGTTATGTGGAGGGCGAAGGCCTATATGCCCAAAAAAGCCAGGCTCTATGGCTTCAAATTTATTCGGCACCCTGCCACTATTATCACCAACCAGGTGATCAAAAGTACGTCATGTACTCCAAAATTATTCGGCACCCTGCCGCTATTATCACCAATCGGGTGATCAAAAGTACGCCCAGTACTCCAAAATTATTCGGCACCCTGCCGCTATTATCACCAACCAGGTGATCAAAAGTACGTCCAGTACTCCAAAATTATTCGGCACCCTGCTGCTATTATCACCAACTAGGTGATCAAAAGTACGTCCAGTACTTCAAAATTATTCGGCAGCCTGCCTCTATTATCACCAACCAGGTGATCAAAAGTACGTCTAGTACTCCAAAATTACACATGAGCATCACTCATGTCAATCATACATAAACATTCATGAGCATCATTCATGTCAATCATACATAAACATTCATGAGCATCATTCATGTCAACATTCATGAGCATCACTCATGTCAATCAACATAAACATTCATGAGTACCACTCATGTCAATCAGCTTCGAAAGCTTAATTTACAGAGTTCCAGCTTCGAGAACTCCAGCTTCAAAAGCTTCATTTACAAAATCTCCAACTTCAAAGCATCACTTGCAAAGCTTCAGTGCAGGGTATACAAATACCGCCTCCGAACAACCGTCACTTCGGCCCATATATGGATTCAATTTGAAGTCTCCAGCCAACAGACTCTATTAATTAAAGACTTGGGGGACTACACTATGTACCATATATTGAGCTTCCGCAACTGGGCCTCATGAAAAATACTTAAGGGACTTAACCCATTGTTTATAATGTACTATATATAGAGCATCTATTATTCATGTATTGAGGAACGAACCCTTATTTTATAAAAGGGATTCCCTTACCTTCTTTAGAGAGAGACTCTTAGCCCATCATTTATGTATTGAGGAGCAAGCCCTTATTCTATAAAAGGGACTCCTTCATCATCATTAGATGGCATCGCCGCCTGCTAAGCAACCGCATCGTCGCGAGCCTCAACTCTAGCCCATCACTTATGTATTAAGGAGCGAGCCCTTATTCTATAAAAGGGACTCCCTCACCATCATTAGAGAGCATCAACTCTAGCCTATCATTCATGTATTGAGGAGCGAGCCCTTATTCTATAAAAAGGACTCTCTCACCTTCAACGCTACAAGTTGAGCCAACCAAGGCAACATAAGCCACAAACCAAGCAGCCTTGCAACATGTGCTACTTCTAGTTGAACATCATTTCAGATTGAGCACCACCTCATATCGATTATCAGTTCTAGACGATATCTAGTTACTTCAGCCTACACATGGACTGAAATTCAAAGTATCCAGCCAAAAGACTCTTTTGACTGAAGATTTGAGGGACTACTGTTTATACCATACTTAGGGCCTTCGTTAGACTTCGTATAAATACTCGGGGGACTCAAATGTAATTATGTAATGAATGAAGGGGCAAATATGTAATAAGTGAGGAGCCCTTATTCTATAAAAGGACTTCTCACTCTCCTCATTAAGGGAGGCCAAGTCTTAGGCCATAGGAAGAGAGCACACAGAAAATAGGCTAGAGAGCACACTGCCTCTAGCCTTCTTATATATTCACCATTTAGAGTGAAACTATATCAACATCAGTGTGGACGTAGCCCAAACATTGGGGTGAACCATGATATATCTTGTGTTCTTTACTTTCTTGCAGATTCACGGTCGGATTTACGTTGTTTCAAGACCTTCGGATTTGTGCATCAACATGGTTAATTATGCATACAAAGCATACAAAACAAGTGTTGAATAAACTACTAGAGAGAACGAACATTCGTGATTTATAATTCTTAGCTCACGCATTAGCAGCTTAAGTTTTCGATTACATTGAAAAACCAACAAATTTATCCTTAGCTCTGTTGAAGAATCTATGAGCTTATTTGGCGGTAACTATTCAGCAGTCAAGTGGCACAGCCTGCTACGGTAGCTTCTGAGTTAAAAATCCAATAGGTGTAAAAATAATTCTACATATTGAATTGGGTTTATGGGGGTATATTATGTATTAAATTTGGGTTTAAAGAGATATTAATAGTTTAGCTAAAAATCAAAATGGGTGCAAAGAGTAAGTTGGGTTAGATGGGTGTATAAATAGGTTAGATGAATTTAAATAAAATTTCCCTTAAACTTTTGTCTCTTTTTTAAATGTTTAAGAAATGTTGTCTCAATATAAAATTAGGTATTAAAAGTGTACTCCATATGTAATTTTTCCTTTAATCAAAAGTTGGAAAGTAATAGATGTTTAATTTATAAATGTCTAAAACAAGGCATCTAATTCTAATTTTTCATTTTCTTATTTATTTATTTAAGGATAAACTTGAAAGTTTAGTAGATACAACTTTTCAGTTGGGTGTAGAGTTAAGATAACTGGGTTATAAAATTTCCCTAACAACATTAAAGTTGGAAACAACTAAAATTGTAAACTTGTTTTCAGTTTTGAGTTTTATTTCATAGACATTTCCTCCACTGTCATTCATTCAACCCTTCATTTTTCCTCTAGCTTGTCCCCTTCATCTGATATGAGCTTTATTGATTGGGTCTCCTCGGCCTTGTGGAGTAATCCTATTGATACTTAGACTGATTCCTATACTCTCCATTGCAAGCTTTTAATTCTCTGCTGGCGGATTTGGACTTCAAGGAACCACTTGGTTTTCCGAAATGTGGTGCCTCACCCTTTCAAAGTCGTCAAAATGGAGACCTTCTGGTCTCATGGGCAGCAGCAGCATTCCTGTAGGAGAGCTGAAAATGGTTCAAGTAGCAGTCCTCTGGCGATTTTGAATTGGTTGGAACCGCCACCTGCCCATGTTGTTAAACTAAACTCTGGCAGATCGTTGACTAACTCCTCAGCAGCTTATGCAAAACCCTAAACCCTTCACATTCTGAGAAGGGCTACATTTTATTGCGGTTGCCTTAAGCTAATTTGGATCATCAAAAGACCTCATATTGCATTTTGGTAAACTCACTCCCTGCCTGTGCCCAGCAAGCTCTACAACTGGATCGTATTTGTATTGGGGAAAAAATAACTTCACTTTTCCGCATTTATCCCAAGTACTTTTCTTATGTGTCTAGCAAAAAAAAATTAGAACTAAAAACTAAAATTGAAATGGTCTTCAAGCGGCCTCTTAACAGTTACTTTCATGTGATCTTAATTCAATAATTCAATAATTCAATTGTTTAGTAAACACGAATATGATATACTACTAAATGAGAACATTAAAGAAGAACAAAACTTAATCCAAGAGATACAATACACAATCAAGAAAGATTAATCACTGAATATCACTTAAATAATATTGCATTGAGACGACTTAGGGATGGAAAAGGAAAAACGAACTCTTTGACGGATGCAATGTAAGTTGAATGGTCATGAAATTCGAGCTTTCAAGTAAAATGCATGATCTTGAAACTAAATATGGATTGTGTCTCTGTCTTGAAAAATACAGTGACATTTATTCCAAGTGAAGGAAAGGGTTGAGTGGATGTGCCAAATCTGTTTAAGGAGGGAATCAGATAAACAGAGGTGTCCTGAAGGTGAAGAAGAATCAAAAGTACTTGGAAGATGCTGCAATGGAGAAGCAGGGTAGAATCTTGTTGCTACTTGTTTTTGGAGGCCTTGCCTTTAGTCTTCTTGAATTTATTGGAATCTTGTAGTTTCTGGTCAGCCAAATGCGTGGGGGTGGCGGAGGATGTGGCAGTGCTTTTGATGCGAGAATAGGTGAATTCTTGGGAGAGCAATCGGGTGATTTCAGCGACCCCAACCCTCGATTTTCCATGTAATAACGTCTTCAAGTTCTCATCCCAATTACGGTCCTTGATACCGGGACTCTGCACCATTCAGCGTCACCATCCAAATTCAATAATTCATTCGGAAGCATATGACTGGAGTGGAGATTATCCAAGTTGAAAATGAAAAACAAAGGAAAATCATCGATGCCTAGGGTTTAGATACCCATATAACATATACATAGTACTGATACTGGTACCGGCGGTGCAAGTGAAATAACAACACCCAGAAATCGGACAAACAAACAAACAAATGTATTATGCTAATGCTATGATTGCAAGATATATATAAGGAATACTGCACAAACAAAAATGAATAGGGGGCACAAAATCAAAACCCATAAATTTTAAACATAAATTGATAGAAAATTTCATATCATAGCATATAATAAAAGAGGGGAATCGAAATGAAATCCCTAGTAAGTCCTAACCTAACCTGAGTACCTGATGGTTGTAGAGGCCAATGAACTTGGAAATTAAGAGTGCAGTGGGAGAGCGAGAGCGTTCTGGGATCCCCAGAAACTTGCACAACTCTGACTTTGAAGTTTTCGTCTTCACTTTCGCTGCTATTACTTTCGCCTCTGAGAAACTGCCACCCGCCATTAGCGACCGGCTTGCCCTAGCGGCACCGCTACCACCCGCCATCTAAACTCAGTCTACCTAAAGTTCTAAACTGCTCCTGCTCCTGCTTTATCAAACCCTACGAATCTATTGCTTCTCTCCCTTGGAGAGATTTTTTAGACACACGAAGGGCTGGTTTATTACTGTGTTTTGAAAAAAAACTGCTGTCAGAATAAGCGGCTGTGAAATAAATCAGCAGAGCGTTTGGTAAACTTTTTTGTAAAAAAGCTTTTGGAAAAAAAAGTAGTCTGATAGTGGGTCCTTTCATTAAAGGAGCACTATAGCTCCATGTGCTTTGAAAAAAAGCCAGTTTTCCAAAGCTACAAATAGCAGCTTTAGCTTTTTCCTTTGATTTCAGCTTATTCTCACAGCTTCCAAAATAAGCCCTTTTTTTTCAGTTTACCAAACACCTAAAACCCTCACAGCTTTTTTTCATAGGTGCTTTTTTTTTAAGCACCTCACTCCCAAACTAGGTCGAAGTGGTACACGTGTTAATGGTGGGTTATGAGTGTTAATGATTAATAACTTAAAAATTAAAAATTTCAATTACTTGCATAAAAACATGTGATGTACCATTCGTGTTTCTATCATAATTAAAAAAATTTCCTCTCTTTTGATGCGTTGCGTTTTCTACTCTTCTGCATGTCTCCACTCGCCGAGCCCTTTTTATTTTTTTGAACTCTATCGACTATCTACTTAGGTCATCTCCAACCGAAAGGTCCAGAAGGTTGAAAATAGCTTGAAAATCATCTCCAACCAAGGACCATGCTAAAAGGCTCATGGGCCCCACTGGACAAAAAAGGGCTAACCGGTCGGCCCAGGGCCGAGCCAAAATTTGAAAACAAAAGGTAACTAGCTAACGTCAACTAGATGTTACTTTTGAATTTTTTTTAAACAAAATTTTGTTTTAAAAATTGTAAAAATTCTTTTTTTTCCCTATTACTTCCTAAACCATTAAACATTACATAACATTAAGTAACATGAAACAACATTAAACAATATTAAACAACATTAAATAACATTAAACAACATAAAAATTATAGAACATAAAAATAAAACATTTAACAACATGAAACTTAAACAATATTTTAAAAAACATTTAACAACATAAAACTTAAACACCTACTTCATACTTCTTTTGACCTAAAGATGTGTAACAAGATCCCGTTGTAGGTACTTGTTTGTGGCACGGGAACGTATCATTCTATAGCACCTCATGTACTCATTTAAAGGGATACTACCAGTTCTTGGATTGAAAGACAAATTAGGCCCATAATATATTTTTGCACGAGCCCTTCTTGACCTATTTGGATCGTCTTGGTCGTCATTGGACTCTCTTTATCAATATACCCATCTCTATCCTCTCGCTACCAAACTTGGTCCGCTTTGGTGCTTTTCCTTCTTCGGCTCCCCCTTCTCCTCTTGTTGTGGCCTCCTAAGCAGGGGCCTTGCTCCGGGGAGAGGAGGGCTTCGCTCATCCTTCACAATCATGTTGTGTAATATGGTGCAAGACATCATGATGGAGTTTAAATTTTCTCGACTCCACCCTCTTGCCGATTCGCTAATGATCTTTCACCGTGCTATTCGCAGAGTTTGGAATTGCTTGGACAAGTGTTGCCCATTTTGGGTAGATGTCATCTGTCAAGTAATACCCTATATTGTACTGACAGTCGTTGATGTAGTGATCAAGTTGAGGTGTTTTACCTTTCGTCAGGCTATTGAAGAGGGGTGAACGCCCAAGAACTATAATGTCATTTTGGGATCTAGGGACTCCAAAGAAAGCATGTCAAATCCATGTGCCATACGAGGCAATCGCTTCTAACACAATAGTTGATTTTCTCGACCCTCCGCTGAAGCCTCCTTGCCATTCGGTGGGACAGTTCTTCCAATCCTAATGTATGCAGTCTAATGACCTTATCATGCCCGAAAACCCATGGTCTTTAGCTTTGCGAAAGAGCCGATCCAGATCTTCTTGATTTGGCTCTCGGAGGTACTCGTCTTTGTAAAGCTAAACAATTATGTCACATAATTCAGCAAGAGTATTAAGGCATGTAGACTCAGACATACCATAGGTTTCATCCATTGAATCAGCTGGGGAGCCATAAGCCATCATTCGGAGTGCAACAATAACCTTCTGATGAGGTGAAAAACCAGGGCGGCCTGCTATGTCCCACTTCTGTTGAAAGTATGGATTGACCTGCTGGACATCACGAAGTAGACGCTCGAAGACATGACGCCTCATCTAGAAACAACGTCTGAAATCCTCTTCTGTGTACACCGAGTTGGGGTTGAAGTAGTTGTTCATCATATTGGCATGCGTCATCACTCTATTTCGTGGTTTGTAAGAGCAAACAACAACAGAGCCACCCCATTGAGGTTGTTCCTCAGTTGGCTAACACACCACGGCCACAGTCATGACTGCCATATATTGTGTGTTGCGTCATGCTTTATCTTCTTCATCATACTCCTCATTTTCTCGTCTCATCTGTGCCTATTTTTCTTCCAATTTAGAATTAGATGAGGACCCCCAATTGAAATTCAAAGAGGATCCAAAGTTGGAATTCATTGAAAACTTGAATTGAAATAGATTGAATTCAAATGTGCGTGAATAATAGCCCAATATCCACTTTATTTATAGCCTAAAAAAATTCAAATCCAACGGCTAGCTGATGTTAGCATGAAGTCAACGTGCAACAACTAGCTAACGTCGTGCTTACGTCACTTAGCCGTTGGATTTGAATTTAAGTTGTAGTTTTTAAATAATAAATTATGTTTAACCCTATGACCCTCAGTTGGAGATGATTTTTCTGGACAGGCTAAAACAAGCCATATGGCCCTTTGGTCCTCGGTTGGAGATGGTAAAAAATATGGCCATGTACTATTCATTAAAATATTAATTTCTTGGAGGGCTAGAGGGCTAAAACGAACCATTTGACCAACCTTCGGTTGGAGATTGCCTTAGGTTGAAATTTTAGAGAAAATGAGGCATTGATTGATACTTAATTTTGAGCTACTAATTACAACTTGGGTAGTACGGGTGGGTTCAAAAAATCGAAAATCGAATCGGACCAAGGCCGAAAAAATTGAACCGAAACTGTCAAACCGAACCGAACTGAATCTAGCCCATTTGGTTTCGATTTTTGAGGTTCGAAAACCGAACCGATATATAAATTTAATTATTTTTTTCAATATTTATAAATAGTTTAGTCATACAATTAGAACAAAGCAAAACCTATTACCAAGTTGGATCCAGTGAAACGTTTCAAGATGGAGTGCATGGGTTCAAACCTTCATGCCTCCAGGATTTCAAAGAATATTTTGATTTTTGTGACAAATCAACAAAACCCTAGCCACATCCACACCTTTTCTATTTTTCATTCCCCTCTTCTCTCTCTCGTTCCCAACCTTCAGAGTCCACATTCCCTCTATGTCGATGCCTTCAATTTCTCCATTCTTCTCCATAACCCACATCCTTATTTCTATTCCAAGCTTCATATTTGTGAGAAGCAACTTCTTACCTTTCCTGGAACAAACTTCCACGCCATCTATTTCCATGAAAGTAATTATTTGTTCGATTGCAGATTTGTTCGATTGTGTTGTGGGTTTGTTAGTTATTTGAATTTCGGATGAATGAATGTAATTATTGCTGTGAGTTGTGGATTAAGATAGTATTTTGATGAACTATATGCTTGTGTTGCTCTTGGTGTTGCATATTTGTTTCTTTCCAGATTCATTTCTTTACTAATTTCCAGATTTACTTGTTTATCAATTTTCAGACGTCTGCTTCTCTTTTTATTTCTGGTGTTTGTTGAAATTTCCAATCTATCTCCTGGGTCTTTTTAAAAGTTAATCCTCAATTTATCTCCCTCCGGTCCTTACCAGTCACCACGTCCAATTTCAAGAACACACTGATCTTGGACAAATCTCCACGTTTGCACTTAACATGTAAGATGTCAAGAATATAGTGGTAACCGTAGTTATCAGAGTTTATTTTTTATTTTCTATATGATCTTGGTTGCAAGGTATCAAATATCGATGATATCGGAAATATCGGTAGTTCCAAAACACTGAAATTTCGATGGAATTATTGGGATATTATCGATATCGATAAAAATTGAATAAAAACCACGGAAATTGTAAGAAAAACTTGGAAATTTTTATTGAAACTTTGCAAAATGTTTATTTAGTCAATTATCTATTAGTTTATCACAAAAAATTGAAAGGAAATGCATTACATGATGGATTTAACTGATTTAAGTTGATTATATAGCGAGCTGGCAAATATTGTGAGTGTAGAAAATATGTAGTAATTAATAAAAGAAGTTTAAACACAACATATCATTTATATATAATGAATTAGTACAATATTTTACACTTTATACATTGCATGATAAAATACATAAGTGACTTATTACCCTTTATTTTTTATTTATTTAAGAATTATATGGTTGTGGGGGTTTTATTTAAAATTTATATTGAAGATGCTCTTAAATTATGTAAAATTGTGATCGAAAACAATAATTATAATTAGGGTAAAAGACTGTTTACTACCCTCATGTTTCGTGGTTTTCAACATTTAGTACATCAAGTTTTTTTCGTCTCAAAGTCATACCTAAAGTGTAAATTTTGGGACAGTCTCATACATCTGTTAGTCAAACTGTTAAGTCTTCTGTTAATTGATGACGTGGCGCCCACGCGGACAATGATTGGGTGCCACGTGTCAATAAGGGTCCACTTGGAATTAAAAATTAAAAAAAATATTAAAATAATTAATTTTAAAAATATTATATATATATATTTTTTAGAAGTTGTCTTCTTCCTGAACCCCTCCCCCCAAATGACCCTCCCTCCCTTCTCCCTCCCTTCTCTCCTCTGCTCCCACCCAAGTCGTTGCCGCCACCCCATCCCCGGTTGACCAGGCCCACCTCCTCCGGGTCTGCACCATTCAACAGAACTCGTCCGAGTCACATCTCCACTTGAACCTCAACTGTTTCACCTTCCAACTCACCCATGAGTTCTTCCTTCAGATCTGCAACTCCTTCCTCCTTTCATGGCGGCCCGTCTTCCACCCAGATCTGCAACTCCTTCCTCCAGATTTGCAACTCATTC